CTATGCACTGGTAGCTTCAAAAGGACATAATGCAGTCAGGCGTGGAGCTGCTCATCTGCGGCCCCAGTGAGCAGGAGGCTGAGGCAGGAGGAGTTTGTGTTCCTGTTCTTGCTCGTGTAAGATTTGTTTTTTTTTTTATGTATATGAGTGTTTTGCCTATACATATGTATGTGCACCATGTGTATGCCTGTTACCCATGGAGGCCAGGCGAGGGTGTTGGATCCCTGGGAACTGGAGTTACACTTTCTTTTTTTGTTGTTGTTTTGTTTGGTTTTCGAGACAGGGTTTCTCTGTGTAGCTTTGGAGACTGTCCTGGGCCTCACTCTGTAGACCAGGCTGCCTCAAACTCACAGAGATCCACCTGCCTCTGCTTCTGCGGAGATTAAAGGCGTGCGCCACCAGCAGCCAACAAAATTAAAAGTATTTCAAATATACAGATAAAGCATATGGTTTCATGTTGTGTAATATTTTGTTTGTATTCTGACAAAGCTTGCCTGGAGATCAGAGAGCGGAGCTAGCCACTAGTTAACCATAGAGGCCAGGCATGGTGGTTCACACCTTTAATTCTAGCACTTGGGAGGAGGAAGCAGGAATATCAGGAGTTCAAGGCCACCCTGGGTTACATGAGGTTGAGCCAGTCTAAAAGAGAAAGAGCCTGGCGGTGGTGGTGCACGCCTTTAATCCCAGCACTAGGGAGGTGGAGACAGGAATATAAGGTGAGTAGAGACAGAATCCCCCCATTAGGTCTGAGGATACTTAGAGACAGGGTCCCCCATTGGGTCTGAGGATTCCTAGAGGTAAGACGGCTTCATGGCTGCTGCTCTGCTTCTCTGATCTTTCAGCTTTCACCTTAATATCTGACTCTGGGTTTATATTGTTAAAACTAAATAGATTCCCGCTTCAGTTTTGCATAATCTCGATTCATGTATGGAAAGAAAGCATGAAGGAGGCCACAATGCAGTCTCCCAATAGCGCTTGCTTTCGTTGAAACTTCCACTTAGTTATAAAGCTCACCTTTCTTGGATCAGTTGTCTGTCACCAGCAGGAACTTCCGAGAGTGCTCGAGTATGTGCACAGGATGGCCGAGTATGTGTGAAGGATGGCCTTGCTGATCAGGGGGCCTCCTGTCAGCCTGCAGGTTCCACGGATGCCCACTCCTTGTTCCAAGTCAGATTCCCTGACCCTCTCTGAGGTTCCCAGTCTCTCCAGCAAGACTTTACACCCAAGATCCTCCCTCCCTGGTGACTGCTCTCCAGCCCTGCCTGGAGAATCCCTGGGCTCCTGGCCCCAAACCAGATCGGCCACACTGTGTGCTCAGAGGAAGAAGTATTTCAGAGTTTGAGCCTGGAGTCAGAGATACACCACACCCGTGTGTGCAACACACACACACACACACACACACACACACACACACACACACACTGGAAAGCTATGGCCTGCAAATGGCTTCTGCACCTTGGAACAGAGACCACTCACTCAAATCTGGGCCTGGCCCTCAGTGAGCCACACAGGACCATGAGCCAGGGATAACTCTCAGGGAACCAGCCTGGCCACCCAAAGCTCCACTTTCCAACCTGGAGAAATTGGGTAAGGCTGGTCATAGCAGGAGCAGGGCAGACGGGAAGGATCACTGGGTTCTGCTCTGGTGCTGCTGCCCCTATGAGCTGTCTTGTGGGGGGGTGGGGGTCGGACAACATGACACACATCAGTAGCCTCCCTCCCGTCACCTACAAGTGAGCAGTAGCAGGCAACCATGTAGTTTGGGTTTAGATCCAAGTGAACGCTTGGATGGTATAGGCCCTTGGCATTTTAAGAGTGCAGCCATCCAGCCTCCTGCAGTGACTAGCAGGGCCAAGGCTGGTGGCAGGTCCAGGGAGAGCAGCCAGCGTGTCACCACCACTGTTATGCCCTGGGGAAACAGACGCCAGGGACCCTGCACCAGGAGTGGACCAGACTTACTTCCCATGAGGAAAGCATGGATAAGTAGTTCAGCGAGTGAATGGTTGTCCGCTAACTGCTTGTGGAGACTGGAGCTACGGACTTCAAAGGACAACTAACTGTAACCCGGATGCCGTCTGTGGCATTCCTCAACCACAAGGCTCTCCACCTTCCTCTCCTCCTTTCCTCCCTCCTTCTTCATCCTGAATGTTTCCCGTTGAGCATTACCCATGAGCATTCTGAAGAAATCCAACCCATTCTCCCCAAGAAATCTTGCATTTACAGACTTCAGTCCCAAAGTGCCTGTCTGTACATCCTTTCTCTAGCAGCCTTCTGGTGGCTGTTTCCTCCAAACATGGCGGTGGTGGGTGTGGAAGACTAGTCAGCTTTGTCCCTTTACTGTCGAAAACCTCCCTGGCTGCTGCCTTCTCTCTTCCCCCCTCCCCTCCCCTTCCACCTTTTCCTCTTTCCTGTTCTTCACTGGCTCCAGATTCCTTATCTGCAAAGGCAGTTTGCCTCTTGGGCTGTCACTTGCCAGGACATTTCCTACATAGCTCAATGTTGGTGTCTTTATGGTTGAATGAAGGCTTTTGAGACTTTGGATAACTTACACACACACACACACACACACACACACACACACACACACACACACACACCCCTCCTTGGTCACTTAACAGGAGACAGGGGACAACTAATTTTAAACTGAGGGCTGGGATGGTACAGATTCTAAGGTATGCAGGATGTCTCACTTTGAGCAGAGTCTTAGGTCTAAATTCCTCAGTGTCAAGAGAGGGAGGGGGAGGACACAGGGGACTCCATCCTGGTGAGTCTAAATAGTGAAACATAGAGAGAGAAGTACAATGGTCCACTCTGGTCTTTCCAGAGTTAGTTGCTATGACAACTTGGGCATTCATTTCACACTTGCTTCCCTCATTCCCAGTTACTGGAAGTGTTCCTACAGACTGTTGTGTGCCCCACCCTCTCCCATAGTGCTCCAAGTAGAAAACACCCACACATCCCTTAGCCAATCGTAAAGGTCCCTCCTACCTCGCCGCACACTCATTGTCTTTTTTTAAAAATAATTTATTTATTTTTGTTTTATGTGCATTGGTGTTCTGCCTGTATGCATGTCTGTGTGAGGGTGTCAGATTTTGTAGTCACAGACAGTTGTTAGCTGCCATGTGGGTGCTGGGAATTGAACTCATGAACTCTGGAAGAGCAGTCAGTGTTCTTAACCACTGAGTATCTCTCCAGTCCCCTCATTGTCATTCTTGTTGGCAGTATTGGGGACTGACCCTAAAACCTCATGCGTGCTAGGCGAGGGCTTTACCATTCAGCTCCCAGGACCCCATTTGGGGCTCACTGTTTTTCAACCAGCCTCAAATGTTTAACTTTTTAAAGTACTGCCTCCATTTTCATTCTTTTCTTATTTATACGAGGATGTTTACCTCAACAATTTATACAATAAGTAATTTAATCAGGGTGTAGTGGTGCACCCCCTTTAATCCCAGCAGAGGCAACAAGGCCAGCCAGGGCTGCATTGTGAGACCCATTTCAAAATAAAGAAATACTTTAGAATATAAATTATTGGGAAATAACTCATGAAGTGATTTTGCTGCCAAGATTTTGTCTGTTTCTAGTGTTTAAGTAACCATCCTCCCCAAATCCCTTGTGAGATGGCCATTTGTAAACCAATAACAGAATTGCTTCCAAAAGGAAAAAAATAAGATGGTATCGGATTTTTTTAAAGGATTCATTTGAATGTTTATCTTTTGTTTTGGAGATGTATGGGAAGAAAAAGTAATAATGGAGGGCATTTGGAAAATTCACAGAAAACTTGTTTTTAAGATAAAAAGCGTTTTCCAGACTATTGTCTTGCCCCAAATAATGCAGAGAGCAGAAGTCAGGGGAATGAGGAGTCCCTGTCCCACCGGGCTCTGGCGGGCCTAAGAGCAATGGCATCAAAGTCTCCAGAAAGGTAGATAGACCAGCCAAAAACTAAGCGCTTCCTGCAGCGCCCCCCTGCCCCGAGTCAGAGCTCTGGGAGCTCGTTCAGACCTTCCTTGAATTTAGAGACTGGGTTTCCTGAGTGGGAGGAAACAGAACTGAAAGAAAAAGGGAGAAGCTAGCTGTAAGAGCCACCCTGAGCTGAGGCGCCGAGGCTGGAGGATGGCCAGCAGTCCCGTCCTCAGACCCTGCACAGTCACAAGTAGCTAGGGATGAATCATGGAGAGCTAGGAGTGGGGCCCTTGAGTGCTAGAGATGGACCTTTAACAGGTTCCGCTACACCTGGGTTCCCAGTCTAGGATTTTCAGAAGGGAAGGCCAGCCAGAAAGGAAACATGCCTTGCCCCTGCCCTCCCGTGCACGTGGCAGATGCTTGCAGACGGGGGAGAGAAGAAGTCCTTGCCGATGAGCATGTGTCTGATTCGTCTGGTAGCATGGTCAGCCAGCCTGGGGAGAGGAAAGGCTCCGTCCCTTAAGTCAGTGGGGCTGGGTTTGTCTCCGAGCCCCCAATCTCCCTTTCACCCAAATGCAACTGAAGCTGCGTTGCCTTCCAGCCTGCAGTGAGCCTAAAGACTTGGGGTTTGATGAGGTTACTGCATGACTGATACAATTGCAGATTTTTAGAGCCTCCAAGAGACAGATGTTTGGGCTGATTAAGAATTGAGGAGGAAGCTTGCAGCTGCACCAAGGAATAATGTATTGGACAAATATTTTAATCAAAAAATATGAAGAGATCAGCCCAACCTTCCAAGGTCTTCTGCTTTAAAAAAAAAAAATCTTTATCAAACCCCTATTCTATGGCTTCAATAAACAGAACCCATTACCTCACGGCATCTTTTGTTGGCCCCATACAAGAGAGAACAAAATGGTTATTCAGGGGAACGCTTTGGATTTTATTGTGAGTAGCCTGCACAAAGAGCCGTGTTATTGTATTTAAAAGAACCATCTGTAGCAGAAACAATGGCATCAAATTATCTTTGAATACCCACTGAAAAACATAAAGCTTGTTTTTTTTTTTTTTATTCTTCTGTACGGTGGGGGACAGAGCAGTGTTAGGATAACTGACTTTTTGTTGTTCTCTGGGTGCATTCTTCCCGCTCCCCCTCTCTCTCCCCCTCACCCTCTCTCTCCTCTCTCTCTCCCTCTCCCTCTCTCTCTTTTAAAAAATCAGCCATTTGGGGTTTTAAGCCATAAACGATTTTTCTTGTTGCAGGGGATTGCAGAGGCAAAGCTAGGCTAGGTCTTGGAGGCTGGTGTGAGGCGGTGCGGGTAAGGCAGGAGCAGGCTGATGGAAGAAGACACTGGCGGAAGAAAAGCCGAAATGGATTCTCCGTGCCTTGGATGGAGGAAGAGGGGGACGTGCGAGCTCCTTCAACTCATTCCGTCCGGTGAGGAGTGATCCAGCTTGGGCTGACAAGAGGCTCCGGGGGCCCTCACGTTCAGTGCTTTTTTACCTGCCAATCAAACTGCTACAAGACAACACCCTGTTCTGGCATGGACGCGTAAGTAGCTTGCAACCCAACTTTGACATTCAAGGCTAGCTCCCTCTCCCCACCCCCCAACACACACTCACTCACTCACTTTCTTCCCCTCTCTCTCATTCTGCCTTTTTTCTTTTTCTTTTTCTTTTTCTTTTTCTTTTTTTTTTTTTTGTGACCTTTAAGAAATCTGGCTCACCATCCTATGTGGTAGTCATTTAACACAGGCCGATTTAAGTCTGAAGATGTTAAATTTGGGAATTAAATGCTAATTAAGATCTCTTTAACAAATGCAGGACTGAGATGACATTTTATTCTCTTCTGAGCAGTTAGTTTTAGGTCTGAACGCAATCAAGGTGGCTTGAAAGGGGTGTGAGTGTTTCTTTTTAAGTAAAAACTAAGAAACAGATCCGCGAGTCCCTATAGATAAATCCAATAATGAAAAATTTCGGGCTTCCATCTTAAAACTGTTAAACTCTAGTATTGCTCTCCTACAAAGAGCCTTGAGCAGACCGCTGTGACTTGCGATGAAAGGTACAGTTCCTGAAGGGCTCACTTCAATCGCTGTCCGGACTGGGGGGTGGGGGCGGTAATTGGGGTGAGAGGGAGCTTGCATTAAAAAAAAAAAAGCCAGGCAGGGGACATGGCGAACCTTCATTCTTTATGCAACTGGAATAGAGGGAGATAGAAACGCAAGGGGGCAGGATCATCAAGAAATATTACCTGAGAAGGAATGACAGGCGGACGCGGCTGGGAGCTGGGAGGGCTGGGGAAAGCCGGCTGGGGCGGTGGGCTGCTCTCTGGCGCCCTCTAATGACAACCGAGCAACGTTGCCGTCTCCATCCCACGCTCGGGGAAGGGTTTTGTCGCTGCCGCTGCGGCGGGGTTTTTTGTTGTTGCTGTTTGTTTGTTTTGTTTTTGTTTTGATTTGTTTTTCTCTGCACGTAGTAGAAGAGATAGGTGTTTTTCAGCCCAGAAACCCAGTGCACGTGATTTAGACACGCGTTTTCCCTCCAAGCCGAGGAGAGGATGGATGGATGGGTTGGGTTCGTGGAGGGAGGCCCTGTCGGGATGAGCAGTACCGGGGAGGGCCTGCTTCTCCGCCGGAGAAGTGTGCCTGGGAAGGCCCGTGTGCGGATCCTGCATCCGGACCCCCGCCCAGCATCGCAGTTCAAGGAGGCTCCTGGGGACCTCTGCCACCCAGGCGTGCGGTGGTCAGGGGCCTGTACTTACGCCTCCTTCTCCTTTTCCTTCTCTCTCCTCCTCCTCCTCCTCCTCTTTATTTTTCTTCTTTTTTTATTTAAAATTTTGGTAGATAAAGGTTAATCTCGGCCTGAATGATAGAGCTATGATTGACAAGAGAGAAGGTGTGGAGGGCAGGTCGCGCGGTCTTATTTACAGCCCACCGCTTGCTGTCGAGTCTTTGTTAGGCCCGCAAAACTAATCTAGGGCTGATCAAAGCACCACGGAGTTAAAGGACCGTAATGACTGCTAATTTCATTCCAGCCTCGGGCAACCCCCGCCGCTGTAATTAAAGACACGCTATTTAAATACAGGTGAAGGGTAGTGAGGTTTTTTTTAAGTTGGGGTGGGGGTGGGTGGGTTACAATTTTATTTAGATTTCTCCTTGTACTGTGATGGTTCTGTGGTCCAACACCAGGTTCTTGCTATTAGAACTGTTTTTTGTTATCTACGCTCGGCTTTGAGGAACCGACAGGGTAAAATGTGTCTGTCACGTAACTGCCCCTGTTTACAGAGAGTAGGAGAAGGAAGAAGTTCAGTAACTGTTTGGGGCGGGGAGGGGGGGTTAAATATTTGGGTCTCCTTTTTCCCCCTTCAAATAAACAGAAGGGCCTTCGACACAGCTGAGAGTATTTGAAACTCTGAGCAGGGTTAACAGCCCAGCCAAAAGGATAAACGTCAGCTTTTAAAGTACTTCCAAAGGATCGTGTGACGTATGGAAATATATATTTTTAATTAAATAATTTCCGCACACACTAGCTCCGTATTGCCTCAGAAACCTTATAATTTTTCAACCCATAGGAGTTTCTTTATAACATCAAAGCTCTACATTTTCGTAGTTGGTTAAAACTGATACCCTCTCTATACAACACACACACACACACACACACACACACACACACACACACACACACAAAGAATTCAGTCTTTAATCTCTTTTTATCCGCGAAGACGAAAGCTCTACGCTCGACCCCACCAGCGGCTGTCACGGTCGGGGCCAGGAGCAGCTCAGTAGAGAAGCGACTCCGCGGTCTGGTGCCAGCGCCCCCTATTGGACGCAGTGGGAGATGCACAGCGCCCTCCCCGAACCTGCTTCCGCCCTTGCCCTGGGGTTAGAGAAAACTCTTTATTGCCCTCAAAAAAAAAAAAGGAAGTAGGGGTGCGGAAACAAGTTTTTATGCCCTTAAAATATAACTATAATTCAACAAAAACTAAAGAAATATTCTTTTGATTTCCATTTCTTTTTAAAAAAATGACATTCTTCCCTACTCCCCAGCTTCCCCCCATCCTGGTCTGGTTTGGGGTCTTCTTTGAGAGGTTGTGCGGTGGTACTACAGAGAAACGTAATAAAAACTGCTTTTGCCGCTCGTCCGCTTTTCACAAAATAACCCCAGAGTGGAGAGTGCTTCGCTGAACCGCCAACTGCGTTTCAGATACGAGCTTTGGCAAGTGAAGTGCTTGGGGTCTCTGGAAATTACTCGTTATATTTGATTATTCATTCCAGAGTGTAATAAAAGTCCAGTCTCTCCGTCGAGTATTTACCTCTCCTTGAACCAGTCTTGATCAAACTTTCCTCCCTGGCAATCGGTTAATTCCCAGCTATTGTCTGCCAAACAGGTGTCCTACATCTTTTCGACTTTTACCTCAATGTAGAATTTCGGGGGAGGTTGGTCTGTGATAAATTTTATTGGTCAGGAATCCAAGTTATACTGGAAACAGTTTTTATTTGTTTTGTTTTGTTTTTCAATACTTCCAAACCTGTCTGTGTAAGAAAGAGCTGTAACTTCTGTCAGCGAGGGAGAGAAAAGTAGCCTTGTGATTGATTCAGAAAGCGAAAAGAACACAGCCTCTAGATTCACAACAATGCAGAAAATGTCGGTTTGTCTAGTTGAAAATCAAAAAGAAGCCATCAAGTGCTACATAAACAAAATGACCATTTCCTACTTCGGGGACATGTTTGCCGTTTTAACTTTTAACCGTAAGGTTAGGGCTTGCTATCGGAAATTAGCTTGATTTTTTTCCTAACAGAATGGCTTTCTGCACATTTAATGCCGTATCTCTGCAAGTCTGCTGTGGAGGATATGTTTATTCCTCCTCCAGATTAGCGGATCCGAGGCTGTTTTTAAAGGACTTGCTCCTCGCGATGACATGCCTCTCATCCGATCCCGGGATCGGAAGTCGGAGGATGGGGGAAAATCCACCTTTTGAGAAATCCCTACCCGGCATTCTGTCGAAATGATAGGCAATCAGGAGCCGCTGCCTTGGCACCTTCATCCTTTGCTCCACGGAGAGGCTAGGCCTGCTTAGGAAAATCCCAACCTGGGACTAGCCTTGGGATCTCAGTCCCACCGAGGAGACTCAGAACACTTCTTGGGCGCCCCGGGTCCCAGCGCTGCGGTCATTTCGCCGCGCGGAGCAGTGGAGTGGAGAGGCCAAGACAGACCCTGCCTCTGAAGCAGACTGCAAAAGGGGTGGACAACCTCCACTGGGGAGTGTGGAAGAATTGGCCGTGGGAGAGCCTTCTCTCCGGCGTGCGGACGGAAGACTTAGGCAAAGGTCAGCGGGGCCAGGAGTGCAGCCCGCAAGTCCGCAACTTCGCAAGGTCGGAGGACAGCGCACAGTTGGGTGGAACAAGAAGCAGTTGAGTCAGGGGGATGAGCCAGGCCCGGGCGCGCCACCCGTGCTCGATGGCCTTGTGATTCTGCAGCCGCAGGTGGCCCAGCCCCTGCTCCAATCCCACACCCAGGACAGCCAGCGGGGAGGCGGCCCCTCCACCTTTGGAGACTAGGGAGGCGACCAAAGAGGGGCTGAGTCCTCCGAGAAGGCAGAGCCTCCCGGTGCTGGCAGCCGGCCGGTTCTCCCCAGCCGCACTGTACCCTTTAGGGGCGTGGCAGGCGCTTTGGGTCTGTAGTCGCCGGGTCCAGGCTTGAGCCCGGGCGGGTTGGCTGGGCGCCCTGCTTTGTAAAGTAGTGAGTTCTGTGAGCCAGCCAGCCGGGTGGGCCAACTCAGCTTAGGTCCACTGAGTCCAGGCCAAGTCCTCAACCCTTCCTTCCTTCCCCCCTCCTCCCCTACCTCCCAAGCTTAGAACGCTGAGAAGCAGGGTTTGTGGTTTGGAGTTGGGCAGGCTATTTGGAGATGGGGCGGGGGCAAGGCTCATTAATAAGAGCCAGGTTCGAGGATGTGCTTGCGTTTATTGAGTTTACTCTTCTTGTTCGTTTTTCAAATGCTGGAAAACCTTCAGTTCCTGGAATCCAAGTCCCAGACAAAGAGCCAGGGAGAGAACCGGGCCAGGATGACAGGAGCATGGCTACAGATAGATGATCATCTCTAAATAAACTCCCAGGCTGTGGCTCCGGAACCAGGGCCCAGGAGCTACGTGGGCTGCTGAAGGGTGTAGATACCACAAGTACAACTTGACACCATTGAGCCCACGGTGCTTGTCAATAATCTGTGAATTAGGTGTGGAGACTGTCACCATAGATCATAACAGTTTCTGAAGGACTCATTACAGCGTAGCTTGTCAGTGATCTCCAAATTAAGGGGGGGGGAGCATAAGAGGAAAAAGGAGTGGGGACCGCCAACAAAAAGCCAAGAAGGGTGGGAGGAGAGATAAAAGTCGGAGCCCCAGCTCAGAAGGAGCCTTTAAAGATTATCAGGCCAACGATCTGAGAATTCCACAGGGATGGGTTCGGAAGCCCAGCTCTCTCTGAGCCTGGGCTGGAAGGGGATGCTGAGGACAGGCAGAAGTGGGCCTCTGGGAAGGCCGACTTCTCAGACATTGC